AAACTTTTCAGAATACCATTTGGCCACATGTTCTACTTGTACACATGCTTCGATTTGGGAAGTCAGAGATAGAGTGGGAGTTCCGATGTAAATGTTTTTATTAAGTGCCCTCTGATTATTCTGAACTGGAGACAGCATGAAGATAAAACATCACAATTTATCTGGGAAGGTTCTACTCATCGTTGTATTGGTTTTTAGTTAGCTTTGAAAAATTACAACCAGTTTGTATCACAACAATTTGTGCATACGTTATATTGTCTTTCCATAATATGAAGCTAATAGCAAACTGATGCTTTTACCCTATTTATGCTGCCTGATGTGGGAGAATAGCTTTTTAATCTTAAATGTTTAAAATAAAAACTAAATATTGCAATGGACAGTAGAGATTTGTCTGGTGGTGAAATATATCCAGCTTTTCTGGAGGATAATGAAAGCAGGGGAAAACACTGGTGAAATGCTGTTTATGGTTCTGTGGTTTTGTATTTAACTTAGAGACCAAGGAAAAGTCTATAACCAATTTGTTTCTCTTCAGTTATACCTTACTACCAACAAAAGTTTGTTTCCTGCGAATTATTTTTAATAGAATTTCTTACACCAACTGTTACTATTCAGTGTCAAAGCCCATAGCTAAAAGTAGCACTGCTGTCATGAGTACCATATTCAATGGATCACCTATTAAAAATAAGATTATAATTTAGTGTTTGAACTACACCCATCATTTTGTTGGATTCCCTACGTTAGTCCCATTTGGTAAATGCTGTTTGTTTTGCATGGGAGGCTGACAGATTAGTTGGTCAAAAGTCTGGAGTTCTTAGTTGCTTTGCTACATTTAAACAAATAGTAACAGCAGTTTGCTGTGAAATGGCCTAAAACTGAAAGTATATATAAAACAAATGCAATTGTCAGCCTGTAATGGATTTCAGGAGAATATATCAAGATGCTGATCTTTTCACTTCTTTCCTCTGTTCTTTTTTGCTCACTTTTTAAGCACAACTTTGTCAATTGCAACATGTGGTACTAGTTTATTGTGGTACCTCTGTGGTGCCTCTGTGTGTAACAAAAAAAACAAACCAAAAAATATTTATCTGACAACTTATTTCTCCATAAGCTCTGAAACCTTTTAACAAACCAGAGCTTCAGAGATGGAATCTAATTAACAAAGTTCTAATTTGTTTTATGGGACTTCTGAATGATGTTTTATTTATCCCTTTACCATTTCAGGTAAGGATGATATGGATATGTGTGAGCTTAATCTTGAAGAGACTGGGCTAACCCGAAAGCGAGGTGCTGAAATTTTGCCGAGACAGTTTGAAGAAATTTGGGAGCGCTGTGGAGGTATCCAATATCTTCAAAATGCAATTGCAAGCAGACAAGCTCGTCCTACATACGCTACGGCGATGCTGCAGAACCTGCTGAAATAAATTGGCATTTTGCACAGTAGTGTTCGAGATGAGAACCCTTGCCTGTGATACAAAGGGAAGAGTTCCTCTGGGCAACAGAGGACGTAAACATTCTATAATCATATTAGAGATGTTTAATATAAAGTGAACAGGTTTTATTAATCACATGGTTTGTTAATTTGTACTTTATGATGTTTAATTTGTGTAGTGAACTTTGCTAGGTATGAGGACCTTGAAGAAACTTCAGTCAGTGTAGTTTGTTGCATTTTGTTTATATGTTTTATTTTCTTTAACAGTTTCTGTTAGAACTCTTAACACTTCTAAGCAATCTGTCTTTACTCGGGTACATATTACAAAGAACTGCATTGCAACCACCTTTTTATAAAATTCCTACTTCAAAACACTGAATAGTTGGCTTCAAGTGGTCTAGTAAAGAGGATGTGCTATTTCTAATAACTGGAATTGTGAGGCCTTAGCTTTGACTTCTGTTACGGAGAAGTTGGAGTATACTTTTATATAATCTGAGACATTTTATGTCCTGATTTGCAAACTGGTTAGTGTCTGTATTTAGTATTTTTGTTTTTTTCAGAATCTGATGGGAAATTCTCCTAAACTTGAGACCCATAAATTCCTATTTAATTCATTCTCCGTCTTGGTTTAAGAGAAATGGTTTTCTGTACATTCTCAGTAGAGCATTCAGATGTATCAATATAGTGTAATATTGGAGGTCCTCAAAGAATGTACTGCTCATTAGGGCTTATACCACTTCTTAGTTTCTTTCTCTTTTTTCTGTTTCAGTAGAAATTTGGTTTAGACTTGTTTTTCTGACCGCATTTCCATTAGGAACTCTTGGACAGTTTGTTTAGCCAGGTAGTGTAATTTCAAAATATTATGCAAAATTGTCCAAGCCTTGTATCTGGAGGTATATAAGATTAAGGATAGGATAAGGGAAATACGTTCAGCTTTTTTATGTCAGTATAACTTAACTGAATATTGAGGCCTGAGCCTCAGACATTGTGTTTATTTTAATTGTAACAAGATATACAAGGTCTCTACCTTTCGTTAGAGTGTGTAAAACATTGGTCTAATAACATAATGCATCATCTTAATACTATGTGCTAATTAAATAGCTACAAATTTTAGTACACTGAAATACCATAGCGATTTGGACACTACTCTGAGCTTTGTCATAATCTCTTCTGTCAAATTTCATAGCTTGTAACAGTTCCCTTATTAAGCAGTTTGTTTTGGGAGTTTTTGTGGGTGGGAATCGTTAATTTCATACAGTTTTAAGATGCATCTCTTTCACTTACGTGAACATTGTTTTACTATGCTGGCCATTATTTCAACAAATTAGACTTGACTATTTATTATCTCTCTAATAGGAATTCAAAATATAAGTAGCTTGATGTCCAATTACTTATTTAACCTGATTCAAAAATGAAGTCTTGCTCTTTTAAGTGACAAATTTTGTTTACACTGTAAGAAAATTTCCTCAGTCTTTACTCAGTTTGAAACCTCTTGGAAATGTTAATTTTCTAATGCATAAATATACTTAATAATTTTCAAGAGGTACAGTTCTGTAGCACAGAGAGAGCTCCTGATGCTGACCTTAGACTGTGGTTGTATGCCACAGTCTGCTTGTTGTTATAAATACACTCCCTACTATAATACTTGTGGAGATATTCAGTAGTAGTTAACTCTGTACTGACCCACTGCATCAGGGAACCTCAGCTTCTGCTGCATACCCACTCAGCCTCTTGCAAACGAGGAAATGTTTTAATTTTACCCAAATTCTTCACTAAAACTATAATTTGTCTGGAAGATGAAAGCAGAGGTGCATCAGACTGCTGGCTAGCAAGTTGTGTGCAAACCTGTACAGTGTTGCATGAATTTAAAGGTGCAGCTTAGGAAATTTAGGTTACTGGTTTAATGTGTTACTGCATTGGAACCGAAGTTTCACAACTTCCAGTCTCTGGAAACTTAGCACTGCAGGAAGCTGTGCTCACTCACGTGATCCCAGAAGGAAAATCATTGAACTGACCTGTGTTTATAACTGTCTGGATTTAGCTGCTTGACTTAACATGTTCAGTCCCAGTGTATGTGTGTATATATATATGTGTGTGTATGTGTGTATATATATATATATGTATATATATATATAAAACCATGGATGTTATGAGACTGAACATAGTAAGCAAGGAACCTCATTACTTAAGTGTGTGTCTGTTTATACACATATATAAGCTTAAATATTTTAGTAAATATGTGTGTAAACATACCTGTGGGGAACTTAAAATTAATAAAATTAACTGAATTTTTCCAATCTGTACCTTTGATTATGCTAGGATTACCTTGACTGGCATCAGAAAGAAAATTTGTTCTTCAGAATGGGGTGTGTGGGAATTTTTGTTAACTAAATGACTAAAAAATGTAGCTATTGAGAAAATAAAATGGATTTTAAAATTAATGGAAGAGGGTCTGATGGTTGGATGTTCTCAAATGAGATATTCCCACCTCTCTGCAGTGCTCCAGAAGTATGACTGAGGCAAGCTGAAGATACATTCCAGAAATCCTACTTTGCACAGTAGCAGGCTGGTTTTTTTAATTATTGTTATTATTATTTTTCTTTCTCTGCACCAAAAGCAGCATCTGCTCTTAGTTTTACTGATCTTTCTGTGCAACAAAATTAATTTTCAGTTAGTTTCAGACTATTTTATTTTTTCTTACATGTCAAGCAATGTTCATTTGCTTACAAATTATTTCTGTGATCCCATTTACTGTGTCAGATAATTATACAATTGGTTGATTTGGAGAGGAAATAAAAAAAAGGGGGGGAGGGAGTTCGACTGTAGCATGACTTAATGCCCTTCTGATCTGTGGTTATAGAGAAAAATTTAGTTTGTTTTTTAAAACACATTGGCTGGTTCTCTCTGTGTTTGATTTAAAAAAAAAAATAAATTCTTCCTGCCTATCAGTGAACCTGTTTGTTATAGTTGAGATCTGCCTGAAACAGTCCACAAAACAAAGGAGAGGAAGAGAATCACCACACTAGGCTACATTCCTGACTAGGTAACCCTGAAATATCCATTTTCTTGAGAATGCTACTTTGAAGATCATAAGGTCGTTAAATACTTATCTTTCATCCACTGAGAAAATTGTTTTTCTTAACTTAGTTTAATCCTTTGGGTTTTTCTCAAAAATCTTTATTTAAAGTTTTTAAATGACCTCCTAATACTGTACTGAAAATTAAAAATAAAAAATAAACACATTCCATGTTGAAATCTCACTTGTATCTTCTTACCATTTTGTCTTTGAAGATTTAAAGCATAATAAATAAGGGTAAATTAAGTTATGAGAAGGGTAAAAGGATTTCTGTGCTGGAACTCCCTGCTGCTTTTCTATCAGATGTTTTTGATGCTTACTTTTCAAAGTTTTACTTTAGTGAAGGTTTTGTCTTTACTTTCTAAGGTAAGTGTTTCTCCAAAATGACATTCTGATATTAAAAAATTCTGATTTTTTTTTACTTTTAAGTTTCATCCTTAATTTCTCAGTATTTATTAAAACAAATATCTTTACTTTTATTACTATTTTTTTAACATTTATTGCTATCACTTTCCATGTATCTATAATTTGCTATGCTGTGTATTCTTTGCATATGTTTCATTTTTCATGACAGTCAGTGACTAGTGAAACCAATTCTACTGCTTTGAGTTTGTATGCTGCAGGGGAAACTTTATGTCTGAGATGGAGAAGTTTTGTGGGTTTTGCTTGTTTGTTTTCCCCTTAAAACGAGTCTTAGAAAACTTTCTTGTCTTAAGGGCCAGATCAGGGTGGTAGTTTCTTAACATAAAAAGATTCAAGTAATTTGGGCTTTGTTATCTAGGAAATGTAATTTTGTTTCACTTTCCTTATGGCTTTTATCTCCAGCTGTAACTTTACATCCATTTTAAGGTAACGTGATATGTTTTATTTTGAGATTAAGTACCAGTTTAATTCCCAGTGAAATTTTCAAGTAAATAGTTTTATTATGTTTTATTGAAATACAAAAGGCTTACGTCCAGCAAATATATTTGGTAATTAATAGTTGAGAGTGATAAATACAATCATGAATAATCATTATTAAAAGACACATTTTAAAACTACTTACTTTTTAATCTGGCTAGTGATAACTAGTATGACTTGAAATACACTAAACACATACAAAAATACATTTGTAATGGAAAAAAGATGGAATGCTATCAGCATTCTTAATGTATTCTTAGCTTACATGAGCAATAGTGAAAAGCTAACATTTGTTGGCAGGGATGACTTCCAGTGCTCCCTGCAAGAAATATTTTTAAAGTAGTTTTATTCTGAAGTGTTACTGGGTAAAACCACATCTTAGGTTTCTTCTTTATTTTTTTTCTACTTAAATAAAGTAAGTAAAAATACTATTTCAGCTGTAGAAACTCAACCTTGTATTCTTGGTGCTTTGCCTTCATTCGTACACTATCACCAGTTTCGGTGGTTTTGCAGGCAAATCCGTGCAGTTAGTTGTTTGGAATTCGTAAACAGTTCTTCTGAGTGTACATAATAAGGTAAACTAAAGTTCAGTCTTTGCTGTGGTAACTGCGCCGTACGAAGAGAGAAGAATTGTTGCTGAAATCAGCTGCTGTCCCAAATACACAAAAGTTTCACATCTGAATGAGGACCTGTCATCCAGAATAGTCATGAACTTTGTCAAAGCTCAGTTTGAGCTGTAAGTACGACTTCTGGTGTGCACCAAGCAGGAAACAGTGCCTGAATATTGTACAACACTGGTGCAGGATATAAATATAGATATACTCAAGAAACAGATGCTCAAGGTAAAATAATGCTCATACTTGAATCAAGATTGTGGATTTGTAGTGCATAAATTAATAAGCCTACAAAATACTTAAAGGCTGCCCGATGTCTGCTTAGATTTCTTCTACAAAAACTGACAGTAACTTCTCAAAATTATTTGTGTGCATACTGAGTTTAAAGTGTACACAATCATGTGCAATTCTAATCTACTTTTTACCAGGAGGGTGCTTGTGAATGTAAATACCTTGTTCGGAAAAGATGAAACTCCAGGTATTGTGCCTCAGCAAAAAGTTTGAAGTCTTAGGATAATCTGATAGTTTCACTGTCACCAGAAATTAAGCAGTTAACTGTATATGTACATATGTATAAACAATGTTCATAGAAACCCTTAAAAAAATTAATTCCAACTTGTGTGTGATTTGCAATGTGAGCATTGTAGGGAGAGAATAAAGAAGTTCCCGGATGCTTTTAATGTGTCCTTTGGTCAATGACAGTTCGTATTTCTGTTCACCACTTACATTAGTGTGTGTAAGGAAGGTTAATAAAAGGGTATGGAAATATGGTGAATTTCCATTGACAAATATTGAAAAATGTCATGTTTCAGCAAAATCTGTTTCTAGCACTCGGCTCTTAAATAAAACAGTTAAGACCTGTAAGCACTGGATGCTTAATGCATGCATCTTAACAATTCTGACTTCCTACCAGGTAAATTTTAGACACTGTATAATAGCTGCTCAACTTGGTCATGTTGCTTTTCTTCAGTAAAACAATTTTTTTAATGTGTCCTGATTTTAGAGCCAAAACATTATATCTTTAGGAATCCTTGAATTTTTTTCATGTGCATAATCATCTTGAAGTCCAGCCTTAAATAATGCAGATCTTCTTTTTTGAATACCTGTAAGAGAAATTCTTGTAAGACATTTGAAAAACATTGTTTAATTTGAAAATGTACACTATGTATCTAGTGCTAATAGGGAAGGTCACACTAACACCTGTTGAGATAATGTCTAGTTCATTGTAAGGGCAATTGAGCCTGGAGAAGAGAAGGGTCCAGGGAGACCTTCTAGTGGCCTCCCAGTACCTGAAGGGGGCCTACAAGTAAGACAGAGAACTTTTTACAAGGGTATGTAGTGACAGGACAAGGGAGGAATGGCTTCAAACTGAAAGAGAGTGGGTTTAGATTAGGTGTAAATAAATTATTTCCTGTGAGGGTGGCAAGGCACTGGAAAAGATTGTCCAGAGAACTTGTGGATGCCCCATCCCTGGAAGTGTTAAAGATTGTTAGTTTTTTTACTATTTACTAATTGGGCTAAAACCTACCCAGCCAAACCCCCCTCTGACAACTAAGCTTTGCAATAATTTTCAATGTAGTGATTCTGTAAATAAACTGGAGACATTTTTTATGTTTTGGAAGGAATTGAAGGTTATTTTAGCTTCTGCTGGAACTTTATGCCTATTTTCAAATATGCCTTCATAAATACAGAGCTGTACTTATTGTAGATAATATGTCCTAAAAAGCTGTCACTGCTTTCACTGTGTGTAGCAAAACAGAATTTAATTATTGGAATCCTCAGTTTGGCCTATGAGTCCTAGAGATCTGTGTCCTCCAGAAAATTCATATTCAAAAGTGCCATCTTCTGTTTTAAAAATTCTAATCTGAAAGGAGCTTTTTAGATTGTGATATCAAAGTGGTCCTCTTAGTTTCAACTCATGAAAGCTGTTCTTCAAAATTTTTTTCCCTCCATTGCCTTTTTTAAATTATTAAAAATGTGTTGAACATAAGGGTGATGTAAACACTCACTGTGAATGTAAGTAACAGTGAAAAAAAGCCACCTAATTTTTTGAACCTATTTCAATTTTCTTGTTGCCTGACTTCCCACTAAATTAATTTATTTAACTAGATCTTGAGAAGAGCTTTGTCTGTATACTTCTTACAATTCAAATAGTCTTGATGACAAGGTCTGATTTTCTTTCACAGATGTGCCCTTTTATTACTTTAATAAAATATTTAGTGCTTTTCTATGCAGTAATTTTAAGTAGTTTAGGTAGTATGAAAGTTTAGTTGTCTGAATTACCCACAGGCACATTTTATTTAAGATGGGTGTAAAATACTAATTGCAAACTTCTGTGCTTGTGTTTTATATAAGCAGTGAAAACAATTCATTCTTGAGCTTTTCCAAAGTGCTGCTCCCTGCTGCTTTGTCCATTTCCATCTCTGCATTCCAGTCCCCCCATTTTCACCTCAGTCTATAACTGTGACCTGGAGTACTTGAAGAGACCAGACCTGGGTATGATGAAGATCAGTGAAAATAATCTTCCTATATGGCATCATTACTTGCTCCTTTATTTACATACCAATAAACATGTAACGAGCCAAAGATTCATGTAGGTGGTATCCTGTCTCCCATAGTATTCAGGTAATGCCAGGGCAATCTTGTACTGATATTCCCCACAATAACAATGGGTACTAACAGCTATAGCAAAACCTTTTGGTTCCTAACTGGACTGGGATTCAGAAAAATGAAAACAGCAAAGTGAAGGCTTTTTTTCTACCTCTCAAGAGGGCATACTCAGATACATCAGAAGTAAGAAACAATGTGGCAATTTTAGAGAAATTTTTCACTCAGCTTTTCTCATTTTTGTCAATTTTTTCCCCCCACAAAGATACAAGAAGTTTGAACTTGAAATAATATTTGAGGTATAAGCAATATGCTGCTCAAATTAGAATTCCTACTCGTTCAAAATCTATGTAGCTTAACCTAGCTCAAGTTATTTTTATATAATCTTTAATTTTTAAAATTTTTATATTGCTCCTCCCATTTGGTTTGCATTTTGTGTTACTTTGTCATTTTAGATATTCCTTCTTCCTTCATGTGTTCCAGTGACTGCCACATTAGCACATGGTTATACAGAATATAACTTTGTTGCATAAAAACACTTAAGAAGAAATTGTTGTCAGATCAAGCATCCAAAAAATCTGAGTTTTTCTTTGTACAAAATTACTACAAAGAGGCTTCCTGGTAATACTGACAAATGGGAAACAACAAATTTTTAAAGTTCCACAAACCTTGGTTTTGTCTGGCTGATGCTGGAAACGAAGAATTTCAAGGACTAACTTGTCAGTCTTGGCTTTGTAAACTGGCCTGGTGACCTACAAGAGTAAGAAAAAAACAAAATGTCAAACCACTAATTATTTCACTAAATCACAAAAAGCACTCAGATAGGATGGACCACCAGAGCCATGCAAGAGAGCTGTAAGAAAAGCAGTTCTGTAGTCCTGTTATGAAACCTACACAGCAGTTAATGTGGGAAGCAATGAATGTGTTAGTATTTTCAGTTCTGAAGTTGCCAAGCGAGAGAATAGGTTCAAGTTTGGTTTAGTTGTGGAGTTAATACTTGAAGATGGACCTGTTATTTCAGGTGGGGCTGTTTGCTGAGGGGTAAGAGAAGGATTTTCATGCATTTTACCTCCAGGCTGAATTGTGTTTTCAAGTTCGTGTAATGCTTCATGGTCAATGATCTCTGAGGAACTGAGACAAGCACTTACACTGCAAGCCGTGTGACAAAAGCTAGAAATGGGTTCATCGTGTTCAAAAGCAGGATTAATCCTTACAGCATTTTCTGAATTGCAGCTGCTGAGAGTAGGCCTTCTACAATGCAGAACATTTTTGTTTAGGTAAGATTTTAAATTGCAAAAGAAACAAAAGGAATATTTTGAAATTTGAAGAAAAAGATTGTGAGCAGCTTACTGCAAATTAGAGTTTCTTTTGCATTTTCTTCTTAACTTAATAATTAAAATGATGAAAAGAAAAGCAAGGCTTAGTAAGCCAAGAACGAGAGGTTTAAAAATGAAGGGTTGTGTGGGTTCTGGAGCAAATTTGGCACAGCGCTGTCCTTGGTAAAGCTGGTGTCTACGTACAGGGCATCTAAAATAAGGAGAGGAAGACAAAAAATGAAAACAAAATCTGCAATTAATTATGAGCACATTATTTCCACTACAATTAGTTGCTATGTGTCTGCATGAAAATAATGTGATTGATAATAAGGGAAAGACAATATTCTTACATTCATGAGAGTGTTAAAAAGACACTGATATATTCTTTGTCAACCTACAAATTTTAGGGAAATCATGCATTTTAAACATCTCTGACAAGTTTCTAACCCCACAGGTGAAATTGAAATAATATTTGAGTTTTAGAACCTGAGGAGTTCAGATGTGTTTTAAGGTAATGTCTGAACATATCTTTGAAGCCTATATTCTGCGTACTGGTGATTTCACTCTGAGTAGCAAGGCCTGACATAAAAATTCTACTACAAATAGATGGGACACTACTCCTAATGATAGAACAAGAGGAAATGGCCTCAAGCTGAATCAGGGGAAGTTCAGGTTGGACATCAGGAAAAATGTCTTCACTGAAAGGGTTGTCAAGCATTGACATGAACTATGCAAGGAAGTGGTTAAGTCACCATCCCCAGAAGTGTTCAAGAAACATCTGGGCGTGGCACTCACTGCTATGGTTTAGTTGACACACTGGTGTTCAGTCAAAGGTTGGACTTTATGATCTTGGGGTTTTTTCCCAACCTTAATGAATCTATGATTCTATAAATAGCTCCCTTTAAAGCAAGGGAAGATTGCCACACTTTATGTGAGAACACAGGGTTTCCAGTTAGTGGAAAAACTAAGATGGTGCTGCGTGAATTCACCCACAAAACAAGGACAAATAGTAGGCCATAATTTTCTCTCTCTCACTGTACAAGTTTGCACAAGCTGTCAGGATGAGACTGAGGGTAAGTTTGTAACTTGCTATAATTCACTAAAATTTTTGCTCATTATTTTTAATCCTTTTGTAATTCCACATGATGGTTTGGTTATTACTGTACATCAAGTCAGGGCTTTTCTAAAAGGAAAAAGTTTTATTTTCCTTAGTGCATCAGTCTTGGAGGAGTAGGCTGTACTCCTTGCTACCTCAGTAAAGTTTGAAGAGGATCTTTGTAGCTCACAGGCTGATTCCTAGTACAAAATACTTCAGCTACCCTAGTGTGACTCTGCAAGTCAGGAATTTGGCAGTAACTGTGGTGAATTCAATGTAATCTTCTATTAATCTTTCTGTGATGGCCACTGAAGGAAATGGATTATGGCAGTATTTTTGTTACAGTGAAATTATCGTATGAATAATTTTCTCAGTGGTCTTTTTTTTTTGACATTAATCCTAAGCTAGACATTAAGCTAGAAGACCTATCATTAACCTAGTCAAGTCAATATTAAGAGAGAATAAACAAATGCAAGAATTTTCACTTGTTTTATACTGATACATGTGGCTGGTCAGCTACTGTGTGCGCGTTGAATACACAGTTTCACATAATGCTCTGGATTGTCTAGTCTTAAAGTGAGAAGAAACTTGATCCTTTACAACAGAATTAATATGTTCAGGTACTGTGTAGTTTTCAATATTGACTTAAGATACTTTTGTGTGAAAATTCTTACAGAATATATGTGCAGTTAGGAGGAGCTGCTAATCCTCAAGTCTTTCCCAGAAAGCCCTGATAGCATCTTCAGCCCTAATGTGCTTTATTGGGTGGTCTGGAATCAGAGTAGTCCTCATTGGTGTGTTTATATGAATATAGATTTTAATACATCTTAGGAAAATGTAATTTCTGAAAATACTACTATGTAATCAGTATCCAAACCATGAATGTGCTACTGCATTTTTCCCGTATGTGTTTGGAAATGCATGGCTTTGTGTGTGTCATCTCTGCCAATGATGCTGAATTTCCAATAAATTTCTAAAAAGTAACTTTTCTAAAAAGTAACTAGGTCATGGTGTTCTGTGCGTCCTAACAGGCTGAAATGGATTTAGCTGTGGTGAGGCTATTTAGAAAAGTATTGCAGTGTAACTTTAGGTATCTGGATGTTGAGATTTTGGCTTATTAGCCTAGTTTATGCTGTTGAAAAGTATATACTCAGCCCTACTTGATCATGTGATAGACATTATCAGGAGGATGTTAAGAGAATTCATGTTGATCACCATCTCTTTACCTGCAGACAGCTCCTCTTCCTGGAACTAGCTCACATTTCCCACCATTGACACAGAGATGCGGTTCCAGCTCGCACAGGCTCCGGCAGGGCAATCCGTCTTGGCTGGCATAACCAGGTTTACAAAGGCAGTCAGCTTCCTTTGTCCACTCGTTCATTATGCATTCGGAAAACTTGTCACATGCCATGAATTTGCATGGGTCTGCCTGATCAGCTGTAAAGGATGGGTAAATTATTAATTGAAGCATTACCACAAAGTGACTTGGCAGGCTTTGTGGCAGCTAGAGAAAACAATTCCCATTTACTGGCCTTGACACTTGGGCATGTTAATAGGAGGATGGAGTCTAGCATAGAAGGACACACATCCTTCTTCCTGTAGATGACACAACAAGCATGCAAATTTATATCGACTTCTGCATTTATTTACCCCTTCACTGTTAAGCTGTCATATTTATGTCACTGACAAGGATTTTCACATTTGGATATTTTTATTCTGTTTTTACTGTAAGTGCTAGTTTTATACTCATGGCTGCCGTGCTATAGCCTTGCTTATGTGTGAGAAATAGTTTCGGCTGTAATGATCCTCAACACATAATTTAGGACAAGATAGAGGGAGGGAATTACGTTATTGAATATTACAAAGTACTATGATCTGCAACCCAGAAATATTGTCATGGTTTAAAGAAAATATGTGCTTGCAGGCCTTGCTCTTTTTTTGTTTGTTTTATTTTTTAAATATAAGTAAGGGATGCCTCTTTGAGACTAAGTGAAAATGAGCCTGCTGATGTTCACGGGAAGGCCTAAATCAGAGACAGCTTAAAGTCCTAACTCCAGCTGTCACACAAGTCTATTTTTCCTTTCTATTCTCTGCTGCTTACTAAAAATGAAAAAAAAAAAAAAAAAAAAAGACCCCAAAGGAGTAATTTTAACCCAGTGCTCAGCCCAGCTTGTGCTGATGGGGTGATGAAGATGTGAAGATGAGGGCTGCATCTGAGAAGCAGACCAGATGATACAAATTTGTACTTGCCAGCAAAGAGTTTTAGTAAGATATGTGAATCCAGAAAGGGAAAAAAAAGATGTAGAAAACTGGGCAAGGAGAATACAGAGAAGGAAGTGAGAGCAGATATACAGGTATGAGCTGGGCTATGTGACCCTTAATACTTATGTATTTTAAAAAGATTTGTACTGGATATTGCAGCTACTACTTGTAGGTACTAACTGGGCTGAGAATTTTCTTCTGCAGCCACTTCATGCTCTGTACTAGATGCTCAGTAATAATAATTTTAATGAAAAATGAGCATTGAATTTTTTGTAGCAGTACTGGAAATCTCAGACACACACTGGAATATGCTTCAGTGGTAGAAGTGAATCCATCAGAGCTGTTCACTTTTGACCTCTCTGTAATTCTATGGCTAGTTCCTGTTTGCATTTTAGACTAGTGAGTTCTAGCATGCACAATTTCCCCTTGCTATATACAATGCTCATGTCGATTTGATATATACTTTGCTCCTGGACTGTGAGTGTGTGTACATGGAAACTCTTAAGAACAAGCAGAGCTTGGCATGAGCACTTTGCTGGGTTAGAGGGTTATTTTTTTTGTCATAACATTTAATTTTCCTTAATACATACCTGTCATGCTGTGTTATGCTTTCTGTTTTCACTTTGTTTAGATTACAGAAATAATGCATGCAGGTATTTTTAAAAGTCTTTCTTTATGGTATTATTTATGACCAATGTAGTCATCCTTTTGCAGCTCCTGACTCTTGATCTACATTTTGGACTGCCAGTTCCCATCAGCGTTTAAATTTGATAGAACGTTGTTACCACTAGATGGCTCTCACTTTCAAAATAAATAGGAATTTGCTTACATTACCTCAGTTTACTAAACAGGTTGGGGGGGGGTGTTGTTTATTTGTTTGTTTTCTGAAATAAAAACAGAGGGCTTTGAAATACCTGTATGGGAATATACTGGCTTTCTAAACACAAATTCTTCTATTTTGACATTTTACTACTGCTCATAGCAGTAGTAAAGCCTAGAAAGAACAGCTGTCTCATTATAATACTGTTTATTTTGAAACACCACATCAGTAAAGCAGCCAATATGGATGAAGATGAAAGATTTTTAAATTTTTATGTGTTTGTATTTTAGCAACTTTCTCATTTTAATTTTTATTTAATGAAAATTTACTACTAAAGCAGGGAACATGTGGTAGCCCAAAGTTAACTTTTTATCATTAGTTAATAATTTCTTCATCAAAACATCAGTTTATCATGACATTATCTGAAGGTTTGAATACTGTGATTTTGTTAACTTTCTTTACCACAAACTAGCTATGCTTTTAGTGGCCACAAGGAGATATGTAAAATGAAAACTGGTTAGAAACAGCCTGCATGAATCATAAATGGACTTTTGTTTTGGAATTGTCAGAGTTCTGTACATAAAAAGACAGCTTAACCAAAATGTCTAAAGGCATGTGCATACTCAGATATTGATATAATTTTTCTCCATGACAATGAAATTAAATTCAGTCCTGAAATAATTACCAGAACCTGAAGATAGATTCAGGCTTCAATTTTTATAGAACAGTATAGTTTTTGAAAACATTAAGCTTCTGACATAACAATAGTGTCCAGATGTGTGGTTACTGACTTTCTACTACAGACTTATTTGAAAGCTATTAAATCAAGAGGGATTCTGGAATTACAAATCTATTGGAGTGCTACATGTAGTCATGCTCTGATTAGTGAGTATCTGTAGAATCCAATTATTTCTAGAAATTATCTCCTCCTGTCGTGAACTCTGTAGCCCTTTAAAAAAGATTTAACGATGCTCTCAACTATGGTATGCTTACAGTTCTGCAATAATCATCAGAAATTATGTTTACATACTCAGATGCGAGATTTGCATGCTATGCCTGTAAAATGCACACGAGCATTTCTTATACCTGTCTTCACCCAACCCTTCTTCTAGAGAGTCTCTATTTGGCTCTGAAAACCAGTTGGTGAACATGCACAGACCAACAGCTCCACCCAGCTTTTCATTATAATATGAAAATATGCCTGCAGATAATTTGCAACATCTTGGTTTTTCTTATTATTCCAGATCACTGGGAGGCTATTGTTAATATGGTTATTTCCGAAACAGTCACAATTCTGGAGCTGTAACAATCTGAAAAAGATTATTTGCTTGGTTCTGACTTTGCACATACATTAGTAACACAATCTTACCTGGCTCAATATCCAAGGAATAGCTGTCAATCTCCAAATTGAGGTGTTGGGCTGCAGCATCACAGAAGTCTTCCAAAACACAGTGTACTGCTTCTGTGATATTGTATGGCACTGTCCTGGCAAATTTCATTTTGCTGTTCACAATCACACTTCCATTCCTGAAGTTAAGTATTTCCAAGTGCTTGAAGCCTGTAAGGTTGGACTGAAGGTATGGAAGGAGCTGCAAAACAGAAATTTGCCTTTATTTTAACTTCCTGTCAGTGTCTTCCTGCTGTTAATTTCTCTTATAGTCACTTTTCATTATGAAGTACAAACATCACACACTCATTTCACTGAATTTAATACAATTGTTAAACTCCATGAACAAATTAACTTTTCCATTTAGCACTATCTTCTTCTGGACTTCTGCATCTTTCTCAATAATAGATTGAGATAGATGGGCAGCAATTTCCCCTGTAATGAAATGCATAGCAGCTGGGGAGTTTATTCATCTGGAAGAGAAAAAAATTACCTCACTCAAAAGCCAACTTTAATTATTTTCAAACATTGAATCCAGGCAGGTTGGGGCATAGCATAATAGGCATGTTACTGAGCTGACCTGCTGCCCTGTTGTACCCACAGAGAAAATCCATATCTAATCACAGTCCCCCTGCTAAGCTATGATATATTTTTAAAGGCCTATTTTAAAATCCAGCAAGCAGACACAAGCCTTAGATGTAATCAGCACTGCTATACTGTTGAAGTGAATGTAAGAAAAAGCCAAATAAATTACATGCCAGGCATATGTCTGAATTCTCTTGAACAAGTAAAAACTTTCATCACTGGTTTCATAAATTCTGTCTCCATACTGTGTGAGGTTTATGGATCCTTTAAAAATGCAGCTTATCAGAATGACTGTAGTAGGGTCTGATATTGTAAAAATACTGTGCAATTTGATGTATTCCTTTCAACTGTACCCAACTGCCACATATATTGTTCAAGTTGATTTTCACCCACCAATTGCATGAACTGTTGTTCTAGTGCTTTGTATTCTGTCGAACTCCTATTGAAGAGGTCATCAGAAAAGTGCATGTTGGTTACCCTCAGGCTGAAGAAAACCACTAGCTCTTTGCCTTTGCCTGCAGTTGTCATGGAGCTGGTAGTTACATACTTCAGCGTAGGAGCTGGGGTGGTTTCTGCAGGCTTAGTTGTCAGCACTGGGATATAACCGCTGCCGTGCTCCCCTTCATCCAGAGCTGCTGTGCTCAGCCCACCGATGTGATCCAACTCGGCAGCGATATCCTGCACTCCCATCCCAGTGCCATCGGGGGGAGCGCTCTCAGGGGTAGGCGCTGACGAATCTGGTAATTCGAGGGACTGTTCGATGATCTCAGAGGGGCTGTAGGATGGGCTGGTTGCTGCAGGCAGTGGTGCTATTTGGTCTGATGAAAGCACATCTGTAATAACACCTTCAGGCTGCATGGTAGAGAGATCACTTGAACCAATAAAGAAAGGCAACGTTTCATAAGTGCTGGCTGTAACAAAAACATCATCGCCTGATGATTCTGGTTCTTCCATGATCTTAACTGCTGCAGAAAAACAGGGTAAAAACAAACAGCCATGTTGAAAAGCAAGCATGGAAAAAACCCCTGTATATAGTATTTCCACAGAAAAATTTTTAAAAACAAGCTTTAATACTATCTAAACATGAAAATGTTCCATCACCCAGGAAGCAGTTACTGGAATAAAAGACCTCATGCACGTTTGAGTGATGAGATTTCTGGGGGTTGTGTGTTTATTAGTTACACTTGGTAAGTATTTCCTGAGCCTCTAAAGCACATTCTTGTTCTGAAGGCACATAATCACACTGTCAGTTTATATTGTCTGAAAGAGTAGATCGCAGCTTTGCACTGTCTGCTCGGCTCACTTGTATGCTGGAGTCATTCTGTTCCCCTCTGTGAGAAGTTAAAGCTATTATTTGCCAGTAATCATAAATTGTGGTTAAAAAACAATAGTACATCCCCTTCAGATGCAAGCTGCATTGCTTTACCCAACAGCACCACTGAAAACAATTAAAAACTTAAGAAACCATCTGCTGCACCTGAAGCAGAAATTTTAGGAGGTCCCCATTGGGGCTTGGCATGGATCTAGATATGTGATAGCTGTAGCTGAAATCCAAATCTAAAGTGTCATAAATGTGATTCTGAATTTGGGTTGCCTGGACACATAACTTCACAGAAAATGATGGCCTCCAAGCAACATATATCTACCCAAGGTGATGACTTTGTCCTTTTCCAGGGACATGCCACTCTCCACATGGAAGTTTTAGCAGCTCCTTGCAGGCAAAACCACTTATCAGCTGTTAGGAAAGAAGTTTTTCTCCAGTTGATGAACTCTTCCATTCCCTGCACACTAATTTCCTCCCAGTTGCTAATAAAAATATGAAAGGAGAGAAAACTTTTTCATTGGGAATATCCTTGACTGAAGGAGGTGGCAACTGTCATGGCCATGGCAAAGGAGTTGCCCATGGATGTTCTTTGTACCTCTGTTTCTTTACTTCTAAATTAATTCCCTGATATTTCATTAAGGACTTGAGATGCTTTTCTCTTGTGATATCCTCATGCTTCTTGTGTGATCACAGATACAGACAGATTAGAAAAGCAAAGCCTAGTGATGTTCTCTGTTTACAAAGCTCTTGCTATTACTTGTTACGCCGATAAGGAGTGAGAGTCACTTATCAGTTAAGAGACCTCAGAACAGCTTTCTTAGCATTAGTGCATGAGGCATTAATGCAGGATGATCTACTGATGGGATGAGCCTGCAGCTCCACAGACCAACCTTCTCTGAGCATGAAGGCATACACTTGAGGACATGACTGTGATGGCATTTGTTGGGGAAATTATATTTTAGAAAGATAACTGTGGGAGAAAGAAGTACTGAAATTGCTTTAAAATTGCAGCAGGTTTGAAGCAGGATAACCATATATATATGTTGCATATTTGGCATACAGCTGTGTGTATATATATATACATAAGGTCTATACATAAACTAGGTCTTCTGGCATCCTCTTATTACAAGCAAAGTAACTTAAAAGGCCTTGAGGGCATACTAAGATGATCTCTGCGCATGTATCACCTGTTTTCATAAGCTGCCAATTCTTATCAGTCACTGTGTGTCCAGCTGAGAGAGACAGATGGTGACTGGCCACAGAGGTCGTGTTAGCCCCTTGCGATGGGAAAATAAACGGGCTCACCTAAAAGGCTGCTGAGCACTTACTGTAGCACAGCACCAGTCCCAAACCCAGGGACAACTGACTTGTTCTCTTGGATGTACTTTGTCTAACTGGTGTCACGTTACTGCTGTGACTTGCCTACGCAAGCAATATGTTGAAATCAGCAGTAAAATGACTTACAACTGGTTTTACTAAGCTTTTCATCTATCTATATGAGATTTTGATAAAATTAAATCCTAAGCAGTTAAAAACTATGGGTGAAACAAAGAAGACCTAGACATTTCATAGAATCATAGGTTGGTTTGAGTTGGAAGGGATCATAAAGATGACCTAGTTTTGATGGGACAACTTCCACTACACCACCTTGCTCAGAACACCATCCAAGAGATGGAGCATCTAAAACTTCTCTGGGCAACATGTTCTTGTGCCTCACCACCCTCACAGTAAAGGATTTCTTCTAATATTTAATCTAAATCTAAACCCCTTCAGTTTAAGACATTCTCCCTTGTCTTATCACTACATGCCCTTGTAAAAGATCCCTCTCCAACTTTCTTGTAGGCCCCCTTTATGTATGGGAAAGCTGTTGTATGATCTCCCTGGAGCCTTCTCTTCTCTAAGCTGAACAACCCCAACTCTCTCAGCCTGTCTTCATAAGAGAGGTGCTCCTGCCCTCTGAGCATCCTCACAGCCCTCCTCTGGACCCGTTCCAGCAGGTCCACATCCTTCTTATATTGGGGCTGAATGCAGAACTCCAGGGAGGGTGTCACAAGGGCAGAATTCGGGGGAGAATCACCTCCCTTGACCCGCTGGTCACTTAAAAAAAAAAACCAAACAACAAAAAAACCCCTTTGCATTTAAAATGTTGCTTTTAAATATAACATCATATATATTGGTTTTCAGACTATATATAAGGAAGACTTTTTTTTATGATGAAGGTGGTGAAACACTGGAACACATTGCCCAGAGAAGTGGTGGATGCTGCATTTTTACAGCAGAAGACAATTATTTAATGACACCTCTGGAAGTATAAACTCTGTAGATTTAGACAATCTCAGCATATTTAATTTCAACATAAAATTTGGTCTACAACACTATCATTTAGGTGTAGGGAACACATAGAGGGCACAAAATAAGTTGCTCAATTCAAGTATACCCCCAGAGTAACCATATTGAAGGTTAAACAATGTCATGGAATTAAAAACTGATGTCAGGCAATAAAAACCACAACTCTAACTCTCAGCCACCACTTATCCTCCCACAAAGATGTTCACTGAACTCTCTAGATAATTTTTTGTATTACATGGACAAGGCAGGACAGTATTGTACTGAGTGTTTTATATCTAAAATTAAACTGCTGTTGGCAAAGATATGTAAACACTAAATTAAGAGGCCATTTCCTGGGCCCATGCTATATTAAATCTTTGTAAAAGGAGTGCAGCATGCAGACATTTATTCCCTGCTGAGGGAATAAAATACATAGTTTTGAGTTACCAGAAAAAAATCAATGGCCATTTCAACAACTTTATTTTAGGTATCTAATTAGTTGGTCCTCATTTTTTTTTAAATGAGGAAAACACTTCTAATTGACCATGAATAAGGAGTTATTGTTTGGGAAAGGTCATATTGTCATGAGACGTTTTTCTAGAGGGTTTGCATTAATAAGTGGGCCCAGAAGCCTGTGCATTAAAAGGTCCTGGCATTTCTTTTCATTCATGAGCTTAATAAGCACTGACATTTCCTATTGGCAGTAGAAAAATTGTGTATATGTTCTGTATATGAAAGTTACAGTATTACAATGTATATGTATCTATTTGTATACTTGCTGGCTGACGAAAATAACTAATGAAGGAAAGAGTGTGCAGTTAAGAGATTGGTCCATAATGTGGAGTAAGGATCACCTTATGTGCAGCTCTGCTGAAATCAATACCAGATGGATAAACAGCAAATAGCTGCATTCAAATTTACATATTTTGTTGATGCCTGAAATGCCACCAGATCCCTGGGTACGGGACTATTGTATACAAAGTGCTGAATTTATGTTTAAGGCCTTTAGTTTTTAACTAGGGCACAAGTAAGATGAGGATTAGGAGAATTAGGAGAAGAGGATCATTAACCTAATGGGTCACAACAAGTGTCTTGCAGTACATAATTACTGATTATGTTTCTTTTTAATTGTAAATGCAAGCCAGAAGATCCAGAATGATCTACAGCTGTCATTCTGACTGTCTATATGAATTCTTCAGAAGCCAGGTTCAGTGTCCAGTGAAACCAACAGAACTTCTTCTCCACTGACTCCAGTGAACCTCAGTTCACTGGGAGTGAACCCCATCTCTTCTCCACCTTCAGTCCTAAAAAAATCTTGACTCTCTTAACCCTTTTTCCTTAGTGCCCTCACTGAAACTTTTTGGGTAGTCTAACTTTTTACAGAACAGTCTAAGAGCTGCATCTCTAGCTCCACTACTATGTAGTACTCTGTGTAACTTCCAAGAGACACCTTCAGTTTATTCTGAAAATGTTCATACCTCTCACCTCTGCTTCATTATCAATATTCTTGGCACCAAAGATGCAAATAAATGCCATTCTCACATGATGTCACAAGAGGAGTATTTTCTATCCTAATAAAATACTACTTAGTAATGATAATCTTCCCTCATTATTCTCAGAGCCATTCAGTCCTACCTGACACTCTGAAAACCTTGAGGGTAACATGAAATTTGCAAAATCAAAACCCGAAAAGCTAAAACACTTCAGAATTCAGGGCATTGACCAACTATACCTTAATAATCTTGTCTATGTTCATTATGAATTAATCTTTCAAGGGTGCTACTTTAGCTGTGCTCCACACACCGACATCAAGGCCAACTTTCTATTTGGTACCAACTGGACAACCCTGTTTTACTGACTTTCCTGCTTAGCTGAGTAATTTGTCCACGGCAACAGACTCTGTGTTTGATTTGGGATGTTTCTTCACAAAGAGGGTTATAACATGGCTCTCATCTCTCTTTGAGATCTTTACTATGATTTCTTTTTTGGGGGGTCAGTAGTATTGCTTACTTCTGCAATCACTGAAGAAATAAAAAGCAAAGAACTCTTCACTTGTTCCTCAAAGATGCATAAAGATTTAGAGGAAACCATTAAGAGTAAAGCCAAGCCCTGACTACTTTTACTGCTCTGCAACTTTTCCCTCATTGCAGTGAATTCTCTCTGAGAGCAGCAGAATGATGCAGTTCACAACAGCCTGACTATCCATAAACTTTTCACTGATTCAAGTTAACTGATCTTACTCAACTCACACAATGTTTTCAGTACAAAGAAGGAATTCCCTTTACAGAATATCTGAGGGTTAATATTTTGATT